TCAGGCAGCATGTTTCAACGAAAATATCCATTTTGACTGCTATCGAATGCGATTTGACGATGTTTTTGCGTGATATCTGTACGTAAGGACAAAATAAAAGACTCTTTTTCTCCAAAAAATTATAAAACTGCTTTAAAATTAATTCTGAAGAGAATATTTCGTGGCGTCTGTACGAACATATGTACGTACGTACATATCTCGCATAACTCGAAAACGAGTAACCTCAGAACGTTGAAATTTTGTATATAGGTCTGCTATAACATGTAGATGTGCACCTCGTACTTTGGTTGATATCGGCCCCACCAAACGTATATAAATATACGAGTATTTATATACGCTCAAGAGCCAAAACATTATGACCACCTGTCAATAACGAGTTGGGCCACCGTTGGCGCGCAACACAGCTTCAACCCGCCTTGGCATGGATACCACAAATCCTTGAAAGATGGCCGGAGACAGATTGTACCAGATGTTGTAGCAACGGTCACGCAAATCCGAGATATTGCGAATTGGTGGTCTTTGACCTCTGAGCTGTCGTCCCATGACATCCCAAATGCGTTCTATCGGATTGAGATCCGGTGAGTTAGGCGGCCAGGACATTAACTGGAAATCAGCATCATGTTCCTGGATCCACTCCAACACAATTGTAGCCTTGAGACAAGGGGGTTGTACTGTTGGAACATTCCATTTCCAGCTGGAAAAACAGAGGCCATATAAGGGTGCAACAGGTTCGCAATGATGTTCAGATACCCTGTAGCATTCATTGTCTGCTCTACCACAACCACGGGTCCCAGAGACGCCCAAGAGAACGTCCTTCAGAGCATAATACTGCCACCACCGGCCTGTGTATGACCTACTGTGCATTGAGGGAGCAACTGTTCGCCTGGAAGACGGCGTATCCTGACACGACCATCAGCGTGATGAATGACAAATCGTGATTCATCTGACCAGGCAACTCTCTTCCACTGATCCATGGACCAGTCGCGATGTTCCCGGGCCCAGCGCAAGCACTGTTGGCGATGACACTTGGTCAGCAAAGGCGCACACGAGTGGAACGTTTGCTGCGTAGCCCCATATCCAACAGTGTCCGCTGAACAGTGTGCTCCGTACTTTTCTACTTGGCCCTGCATTGTATTCGGCTGTCAGCATAGCCACTGTCTGGCTCTGGTTTTGCTTCACCATGCGAGACAATCTCTGACGACCTATCTCTTTGATAGCGTGTGGACGTCCAACACCATGTCGTCTACTGCTGGTTTCACCGTTATTCATCCACTTTGCATACGTACTAACAACTGTAGATCGCGAACAACCCACGAGTTGTGCATTTTCGGAAATACTTGTTCCGAGCCTTCGAGCCAATAAAATCTGCCCTCTATCAAAGTCGCTTAGATCCGCAGCTTTTCCCATCGCACACAGAAGTAAGTGAAAGAATGATTCTTCAGACTCTCCAGCAGCAGTTAAATACCACTTCCACCTGATCACGTGCCTTCCACATCATCCAGGCTCGTTTCATCGCAAAATGTAGGGCTGGCCGTAATGTTTTGGCTCTTGAGTGTATAAATTCACTCTGTTCCCCGGCTTAGTGATCTCAGTTTCTGTACTCTTATATGTTTGTAAATTGTACATTTTTTCCTTTAAAAATGATTGAATTATGTTGTTCTTATCTTCCTGTTAAGGTTTTTATGCCTTTAGTAAACCTGTACGCAATATTTTTAGAATTATCAACAATTTTAAAGTTGTTTAAGTGCCGCTAAGCCTAATAATTTTTTTGATGGTGGCCATTGATGTTTACATTTGAAACAGGAGACTAGTGGATTTGTTCCCAATCTAGAAAAACATAGCTTCGCAACAGCAAAGATAACGCCTTCATTTATATTTGCGAATTAAATCATGCTTAATCCTTTCTGGTATTTTTTCGAGGAAATAAGTGTTTAAGATTTACTTTGCAATTTTTAATACAGATATTTTGAGTTTTTATGTATTTTTGTCTTCTCGCGAAGTGAGAACTGGATTAATTGAATGAGAAATATTCAAACATCTGTGAAAAATTGTTTCTTTTTTGTTTTGTTTGCTTAATTTCTTTTATACATCGTTCCAGCTTTATTTTAGTTTTTGAATAGAACATGTGGACGATTAGATAATTCTTTAAATGATATAAATTTTGTGCATTCTGAGTTGAAACAATCACAGAATTTATTAAAAGAACAAATGAGAAAGTCTTCTCTAAAGCTGTCCAATGCGACTATGTGAACTATTCCCAAGTCTTCAACTACGAAATAATGAAGACCGCAACATAAGACCACTTGCTGCTCACACCTTCATGGGGTGAGACTTCTGCTTCTTCTCTTGCTCCTCAATTGGAGGCGGTAATTTCTTTCATTTTATCTAATGAAGACAGTGCTGTACTCCAAGTTGTTTGGATTGCTAGTGTGATGATGTTGCCACCGATAATGCAAGATGATCTGACTCACTTTTAATGCAAAGTAATAGTCGTTGTGTATTGATTTTCTGTTGTATGGGTTGAATTTGTGTAGTTTGATAGTAGTATTGAACTTTTGTTGTTGTTGTATAGCATTTTCAACCATGTTTTGCACTTGTCGTTTCTTTGAATTGTGAAGGATCCGTTCAGATTTTCTTCATCTTGTTAAGTCCGTTCATCAGCTAGATGGCTTTGGCCTTTTTCCGTTTGGTACCCATCTCACTTTTCCTTTCTCCGTTTTCTCATCCGAGATGTTTTCCATTTCCTGAATGTCATGTGCCCTTGGGCTTAATTTAAGGAACCGGCAACGTTGCATCTGCAATAGCTCGGTAATATAGAACTGTCCAAGTCTAAGTTTATAATATGAACGAAATATAAAACTGTTAAATGAACCTAGCGCCAGAGTGTCGCTATGGTAAAAAAATATAGTGCATTTATTCTATTGTGGTTTATGCGCTATCGACGAAGTAGATTTAATTCAATCCAGTAAGTTTAAATGAAATGCAAGAAAAAATGCGTATAATTTAATAATCCATACAAGGAAGTCATGTGGTATACAAATCAGATTTTTTCCTTTTATAGTCACGGTTAAAAGCGCGTCAAAGCTTGTCAGGACTGAGTTTTCGCGCCCGCCCGTGTTTTCATACATGTTTCGACAAATAAAGACACACGCTAAAAAATTATATTATAGCACTTTGTATGCGTGTCCATGTATTTAAATTATAATAAAAAGAGTGATTTTGTTTACGTTTTAGATTATTTTTAAGTGGGAATTTATTATGCTTGTGAGCGGTTTCCTTGAATTTGAAATATTTTGACATTTAAAATACTTAAAAGTTCGTAAACATAAATTATTATTAATATATATATATATAATATTTTATTAAAATTCAACACATTAATTTTTCAAAAGATTTAAATGAATCTTGGTTTATTTTCTTCATACACTAGTCAATTTCACAGCCAATTTGCCGCCTCCTAAGGTTGCCGACCTAACGTCGGCCCTGCTCAGCCCAATAAATTAAACGTTACAGTACTCACATTAGATATCGTTTTGATTTGAAGATAGATTGAAGCATTTAATCGAATCTGGCATGAGGGGCTTTGGATGAAGCTTATGAATCTGCACTTCTCGAGGGAGAGGTGTTTTAAACATTTTTTGTAGTAAATATTTTTGCAACAAATTACTAAAACTAAATGATCACTATGAGACTAAAATAGTGAGTAGAATAATTTCTCTTGCCTTGTATTCAGCGCAGCGTCACCATAGCTTAGTAAAAGGTGTAATCCAAAAAAAAAAAAAAAAAAAAAAAAAGTTGTAGACGAAAACTGAAAGGTTACAAACACATTTATTTATACGTAATAATAGATTAAGATTCATTAGTTTTCGTAATACATATCAAGAGAGAGTTCCATAAGAGAAAATTATATCACTGTCCTCTCTTGAAGGAGTGAGAAAAGAAAATGAGAGAGAAATGCGAGTCACACAATTAACTCCTTTGAAGGGTGCCCAAATTACACTGTTTAATTTTTGGCGACACTGTAACTTTACTGTGTCGCCAAAAATTACCACTACTTTAATCAAATTACACTGTAACTTTTAGTGACTGTTCATCACCAATTTGCATGCCAACAGCCTTACTTGATGTACGGCATCGCCATTTGCAACGATTCTCGAACACAGGATTGCCTAGCGGTTTGGTGAGCAGATCAGCAATCATGTCGAAGGTTCAGCAGTAGTCTTCAGCATATAACCGTAGTTTACCTTTATGAGACTGGTTGTTTACCTGACTGGAGATAGTGATGTGATAGACGAACTGGTTTCTGTGGGGAAGGAGAGTCCCCTTTGATTCAGGAAGGCTCTCTCTTCTTGAAAATTTTACCCCACTGGAAGCAGGTTCTGAGTCAGAATCACTTAACTTTCTTTTAGTTGCAGGCTGCTTTACCAAAAACTTATCTAATAACACTTGCTTCTGTCTCCTTTTTAAGATGCCTTTACAATGCGACATTACATTGTTATTATACAAGTTCGTTGTGCGCCCACACACTGCTTTATTAGGGTGATTTTCTTCAAAAAAGTTTTCGCTTATTCGCATTTTTCCAACACTTCTTTAATCTTACTGGAAGAGAGGGCCTCATCTCCTGTTCCCTCCTCTGCGAACGAAAGCTCTTCTATCACCTCTTGCTGCTGCTCCTTGTGAAGTTCTTTAAGTTTGTTCGTTGTAAGCTTTTCACTAGGTTTCTCCACTAATTTATCTAAATCAGTACCATCCACATCCAGACTCACACTTTTCCCCAGAGATACAATTTCTTCGATTAGCTGCATTGTGTTGTCCATAGGTTGAGGATCGAAACCTAAGTCAGGAATACTCTGAGGCTACAGTGTTTTTCCATGCTGAATCACTGTGACTGAGTGTCCTCACTGAGACTTCTTTCCAAGCCATATCAATGAGGTTTAAACGATGTAGGACATTAAAGTGATCATTCCAAAATTCTTTGAGGGTCAGGCTTGTATTTTAAATCACTTCAAAACGCCTATGAAATAAGGCCTTCGTGTACAGCTTCTTAAAGTTGGAAATAACTTGTTGGTCCATAGGTTGGAGAAGTGGATGGTTTTGGGAGGAAGAAACTTGACATTTATGAACTGAAACTCCTTCAGCAAATCATCTTCAAGCCGTGGAGGGCGTGCAGGAGTATTATCAAGAACGAGCAAATCCTTGAGGGTCAACTTATTTTTGTGAAGGTATTTCTTTACCGAGGGACCAAAAACTTCATTGACCCGCTCGATGAAAAATTGCCGTGTTACATAGGCTTTGCTGTTAGGCCACCCCATTACATTCATTTGGTTTTTCTGCATATTCCCCTTCTTGAAAACTCTTGGGTTTCCTGAATGGTAGACGAGCAACAGCTTGATTTTACAATCTTCACTTGCGTTGGCGCAAAGCAAGAGAGTAAGCCCATCTTTCATTGGCTTGTGGCCAGGCAAAGATTTCTCTTCTTGCGTGATGTAGGTCCTCTTAGCCATTTTCTTCCAAAAAAGGCCTGTTTCATCACAATTAAATACTTGCTGTGGAAGAAACACCTCACTAGTAATAAACTGTATTAACTCTGCCCGAAATTTATCAGCAGCAACTGTATCAGAGCTTGCAGCCTCCCCATGTCGCACAACACTGTGAACACGGGTTCGCTTTTTAAATTTTCGAACCACCCACGGCTTCCTTAAATGCCATCTCATATTCAGTCGATGTACCTGGTGTTTTTCGGAAAAGGTCCAAGTACAAATTCTTAGCCTTAACGCCAATGATAGCTTCCGATACCGAATCGCCTTTTAACTGCTTCTCGATAATCCACGGCAACAACAGTTTCTCAATATCTTCTAGGAATTTTGGACTGTGCTTGAAAGTAATAGTAACTCCTTTGGCCACATCAAGCTTCTTAATTTCTTCCTGCTTCTTCAGAATAGTGCAGATCGTCGGTGTAGAACGGCTGTAAGTCTTCGACAGTTCCGTCACTCTTACACCACGCTTATGTTTAATCTATGATTCTTTTCTTAATTTCAACTACCATGGTTTCCTCTTCTTTTTCAGGATTATCTGAGGACACAGTCTTCGTCAAAGGCATCGTGACATAATTATTTTCAAGTAAAATGTAAAAAAAAAATTAACTAACAAGCGCACGAACACGTAGATCAAAGAATACTGAGTGATCTGCCGAGGGGATTCCCCAAGTCGAGCCAGATTTGGGAAACGGCGCCCCCATACCAACAGCCTGGCTCATTGCTCGTTACTCGAGTCAATGCTCGTTTCAGAGACAAATGTTTTGTTCATACTTTCTTCGTATCTCGAATTTCTCGTATATAGAAGTGCTCGTATCTCGAGGTTCCACTGCTGTTTGTTTCCATTGGCGTATATGCGGGTTTTTCATTTTGAAGTCCGAATTTTTGAACTATTTCTTCGATTTTGTTATTTTGGTTTACGGCAAAGTTTCCATCTTTAGATCTTTCGATATTTATGTCGAGGTAGTAGGTGACTTCTCCTAGTTCTTTGATTTCCAGTTTAGCTTTTAGTTGTTGGATTGTTTCCATTACATCCTCTTCTCTTCCACTTCCACATATAATTTTATATATGTGAATTTTTCATTGATGTTTTTGAAAAAAAAAAAAAAAGCTTTACTTTGCTTTACTTTGTTTCAATGATATGTTTAGTTGTCCAATTTTCAGATTCTTAGATTAGATTTTCAGCTTGTTTTAGTCCATGTATTGATTTCATCTCCTTGTAAATTTTGTTTTCATTTCCAACCGTTAGTATGTTTCAGGTTGAGTCATGTAAATTTCTTCTTCTAGTTAGTTCTCAATGAAGGAAAGCCGTTTTGACATCGGTATGTCTGACAGGGATGTTTTCATACTTTTCATACGAAGTTGCACATAGGAAAGCTCATAGAGTTGTGTATTTTACTACAGGAGCATCACAATCAGATCCGAACTTCTGGCTAAATCCTTTTGCGACTAATCTGGTCTGTAACTCTCAATTTTTCCTTTTTCATTGAACTTGGTTTTGAAAGACCATTTACAGCATATTGGTTTTTTAACTTTCGGTAAATCAACTAATTCCCAAGTGTTGTTTTCTTCTAGTGAATTAATTTCTTCTCGAACGACCGTCAGTCATTTTCGTTTTTCATTTTTTTTTCAAAGTTTGAATTTCATTTCATGATATCCGTAGCGATCAAGTAGTTTACCTTTTGTGATTCCGTTCGATTTCTGAGTTCTAAATGTTCTTCTTCGGGTTCTGATATTTCTTTTTTTTCGGGGTCTTAAATTTTTATTTCTTCTTGTTCTGAGTTTTGTTCCTTAGGAGTTTCTTTATCCTGGTTTAAAGAGACGCTTACTTGCTCGTTAGTTTCAGTGTCTTCAATACGTAAATCGTACAGATCGACTTATTATAATTTTGTCTCCGGGAATTAAATTTCTGTGTCGTAGCCGACGAGCATTCCTTCTGTACCAGTATTATACAGTTTACCCCTTTTAGGTTTATAAATGTAAGCAAAAGCCTTGCACCTGGAAGTCCTCAGATGAGAGAGGATGGGTTTCTTGTTATTCCATAATTCGTATGGTGTTTTCGCATTGGGTTTTGTAGATAATTTGTAGTCAGCACTGCTTCAGTCCAGCATCTATGAGGTTGACTTGAATCGGCTTAAAGACATCTTGTCATTTCTATTAAAGATCTATTTTTGCATTCATTGACTCCATTTTGTGCAGGACAATGCGGTACAATTAGCCGGTGATTTATAACATGCTTTATGAGATATTCTTCGAGCCCCTTACTTGTGTATTCACCACCATTATCATTTCTTAGCGTTTTTACTTTTCTTCCGCATTTATTTATTGTAACTGCAATAATTTGTTTTAGATCAGAAATTACTTTATTTTTCTTTTTCATTAGGTAAATGATTGTAAACCTACTGTAATCATCAATAAAAGTTTCGAAGTATACGTAACTTTTGTGTTAGTGTTTGAAGTGTTTCTAAAACGTCAGTGTGAATGAGTTCAAGAGGTTTAGATGCTATGAATTTCGATTCTTTGGAATACGGTAAATCAGTTAGTTTACATTTTATGCACTGAATGCATTTGGTAACAAGCTTTCAATTATCTTTGATTCCTTCAGCGAGTCCTTTGTTTTCAAGTTGTTTGATCGCGTCGTCGTTTCTGTGACCAAGGCGTCTATGCCAAAGTTGGACACGATTTTAATTTTTACACTGAAATGAACAAACAGATGGTTCATTATTCCTGTCGATCGGTTTAATTTGGTACAGACTGTTAGTTGCATGACATTCTAGAATAATCTGATCTCCTTTCGTGATCATGCATTTATTTCCTTCAAACAGAATTGAGAGCCCCTTTTCTGTTGCTTTCTTAATTAACATTAAATTTCTTTCTAATTCAGGAGCATATAAAACTTCCCATAAAAGAACTTCAAATACTTTTTGTTTAGCATTTAATGTTTTAAAACGCACAATTGCGAATATTATGTTTATTGCCACCAAATGAAGATCCTGCAATGGTGGGTCGTCATCATGGGATCAATGCCCTTTTGAAGAAAGAAATACCAAATATTTTAGCTCTTCAATGCGTAATTCATAGACAGCAATTAGTTAAAAAAAACTCTCTACTATGAATTAAATTCGCAGTAATGCTCTCAACGATCGATTATTTGGGCAGCTGTGTAAGGACAACAATGAAGAATTCAGTCCTTGCTCCTATACACCGAGGTTCACTGGCTCTTCAAAAGCGCCTGGCTCAATAGGTTCTGAAATATTTTTGAATCTGTACTTGAGTTCCTCGAAGAGAAAAATCTAGCTCTGAAGGGCAAATTGCTATAATTTAAGACTGATGTTGCTTACATGACCGATTTATTCCCAAAATTCATTGGAATGAATTTGCTTCTTCCAGCCGAAGAGCTCAATTTGATCACAACAAAATCTGTTATTTCTGCCTTCCTAAAAAAATCCGCTTTGTGGAAACAGAATTTTGGTCGCAACGATTTCAACTAGTTTCCAGTCCTGTCTAATCTGCACAAGAGCAGTGAAATCCCGTTCGATGAAACACATGTTTACTGTTAACACCTTTAGTCTTTGCTCAAGGACGTTTCTGAGCGTTTTGAGGATATTTTGTCCCTGAAAGTTCCTCAGTGCGTGATGAACCCTTTATTGAATATTGAGACAGCAGAGGTTCGGCTTCAGGGCTAATGAAACTTTAAAAGCCCGCTTCCAGAATGGTCATTGTCTCACAGAATTTTGGCTTCAAAATAACATCAGTCGCCTCTACCCAGGATTGTGACTATCGTCAAAACTTTCTTAACTGCTTTCTCTTCCTCCTATTTTGTCGAGCGAGGAATCAATGCTGTGACTGATGTAACTACAAAAAGAGAAGTCGACTCCAAATTGTGGAAAAGGGAGCTTGCGCCTTCATCTTGTCGAGATATTAGGTAATTTGGAGAAGCCGGAGAGATGAAAAGTTCGCAACCACCTTCGCCAGAAATCGAACCACGGACCTCTGGAATACCGGCACAGCGTGCAGAACCACTACAGTACGAAGGCACGCTAGGAAGGCGGGGAGAAATATCTTATATACTCCCCTTTTTAAAGGGCGACTGGGGTTTTTAGGGGACCCACTCGCCAAATTCTGGGTGAGGAGAATCGTCGTCCAACACCCTTTTAGTTCGGGCGCCACTGTAGAGACATTAGGTAATTTGGAAAAGCCAGAGACATGAAAAATTAGCAACCTTCGTGGCCGGGAATCAAACCATGGACCTCTGGAATACCGGCCCAGAGTGTAGAATCACTACACCACGAAGGCACGCTAGGAAGGCGGGAGAAATACTTTATAACCTCTCTAAAAATATTAAACCGAACGTTCGGAAACTGGCTCTGAACCATGAAGCACAAATATCCCACTGATCATAGTTGATTGTTTCATTAATATTACTCTTTTATTGTATTTTTTGCTGTTCTTTTTTAATTATTTAATTAGAAAAAAAAATTTAAACATAAAACATCGCTTAAGCAATTTGTCCTGGCATTTTGTCATTTCTATTTTAACAAAAGGAATGTGATTATTCTCCAGGTAAAACTATCGAGTTAAATCAAGCAAATTTGGTGTGAAAGTCTTCTAAAAAAGAAATTAAAATTTTTGCCTTTTATAATTAAGGAACCCCCTTTCCCTTACCCTAAATGATAGGATTTTCACAAAGGAGGCTTTGAAAAATGTTTCGCTCCTTAGGGGGTAGCTTTGAAAAGGTTGAGAATCACTGCCTTAAAATGAAGATTAATGCTGCAAATGGAGGGTTTGCATCAAAGCACAAAAGTCTTAACATTTAATCATCAAACGATATAAGAAAAATCATCCAGTGACTAGAAAACTCTATATCTTTAACGAGCCAGTCCCTTTCCTAAAAAGGCCAAATATCTTGGTGTCATGTTAAATGATCGACTCACCTGGGCTGATCACATCCGATACGTTAAAAAAAGCACAACGTGTCATCTGTTACACATTGTTTACTGCCTGTTATCGGAAGGTACTCTAGGATGGGCATTGCTAAAGAAAAGGCATATTTATCTCGCGATCAATTCAGCCCATTCTTACTTATACTTCCCCTTCCCGGGCCGCAGCCACTGAGAACGACGTTCAACAGCTTCTGTTAGTGCAACCAAAAATACTACATTATGTGACAAATGCACATT